GGTTGGGCCCCGGCCAGACCAAATGATTCTCCCTCCGGCCCGCGGTGTCCCCCTGTGTCCCGCCGGTGTCCCGCCGGTGTCCCGGTGTCCCGCTGGTGCGAAAACGATAGTGAGACCGATGACGAAATCGATTGTGAGATCGATCGTGAGATCGATAGTGAGATCGATAGTGAGGTCGATCGTGAGATTGTTCGTGAGATCGATCGTGAGATCGATAGTGAGATGAACAGTGATATCGATTGTGAGATTGAGTGATATCGATAGGGAGATCGTTAGTGGGATCGATAGCGAGATCCAGAGTGAGATCGACAGTGCAATCGATCGAGTGAGATCGATAGTGAGATCGATCGAGTGAGATCGATAGTGGGATCGATGGTCCCATCGATCCCAAGGCGCCGGTTCCCGGGGGGGGGGAGAATGATACCAAGGCGCCCAAGAGCGAAGGATGACGTAAACAACTCGACACGGAGGCTCCCAAGAGCGAGCGGCAACGCAGCAATCACCACTGTTGCCCATTGCTGGCCCCCCTCCCCCACCCAACCTCCTTATCACCCGCAGGGTGGTCGTATAGGCATATTCCTCTTCCTATATTTTTACATGCCCGGGCGGGGGGAAAACCCGTCCCGCCCCCCAAAACCAGACTCCCGGGATCTGGGGCTTTGGGAACCTCCAGACGGGCCTCGAAGCGGCCCCCGGGCCTCGCAGGGCGTTTGCCAAGCCTTCCCAGCACACCTAGGGCGATCAGGTGGGTCATCGGAGACGTCCCAGAGACCCCCAAGACAGCACAAGAGCGCTCCAAGAGTGACCGACGTGACCTCAAGATGGCGCAAGAGGCCTCCAGGACGTCCCCAAAGAGGCCTCCAAGAGCACTCCCAAATTAATGATTTTCTAACTAAAGGTTTTTGGTGAATTTTAGGGTTCTCCTCTTTTCGGCTTCCCGACGCTCCAAGACGGCGGTCTTGTGGGCGCCCGAAGCCGCCTGGGGGGCTCCAAAAACGCCCCACAACCATCCGAAAGGGCTTCCAGGCAGTCCAAGAGAGCCCCAAAATGGCACAACACGGGTCCAAGATGGCCCTCAGAGAGCCCCATGGCGGCCCAAGATGGCCCAAAGACACCCTCCGAAGCATTCCGAATCGTGACCCGGTCGTTCAGGGAGACCGCGGTTGGAGGCAGGGTGGCCCGAGGAAGCCCCCAGAGGCCCCCAGAATACGCCCAGGAGGCCTCCATAAGGCCGTAAGAAAGCCTGAAACAATTCTTGTGAGGCCCCCAGAGGCTCTCCAGGGAGGAGCCTCCGAAAAAAGAGCTGAGGAGGATGGGGAGTGTGCGCAGGGTATGGCGAACATAAGGAAACAGAAGCATGGAGAAAGGATAAAGCGGCGATGCCGGAAAAGGCAACAAGGAGTTATCGCTAAATTGTCGGCTAGACCTTCCTGCTATTTCGCCGGCATGCCAAACTTCAAGGACCAAGGTGCATGGCGCGAGGCGCCACTGCAGTCTTGCACGTATATATATACACACACAAGGCTGCAGTGGTGCTTCGCGCCATGCACCTTGGTCCTTGAAGTTTGGTACGCAGGCGGAATAGCAGGAAAGTCGAACCGACAATTTAGCGATAACTCCTGGTTGCTTTTTCCGGCATCGCCGCTATAGTAATGTCATTCGTTATCTTTCCTCCATGCTTCTTCTTTATTTTCGCCATACCCTGCGCATTCTCCCCATCCTCCTCCGTTCTTTGTTGCGGAGGCTCCTCCTTGGAGAGCCTCTAGGGGCCTCACAAAAGTTGCTTCAGGCTTTCTGAAGGCCTTCTGGAGGCCTCCTGGGCGTATTCTGGGGGCCTCCGGGAGCTGCCTCGGGCCACCTTGCCTCCAACCGCGGTCTCACTGAACGACCGAATCACGATTTGGAATTCTTCGGAAGGTGTCTTTGGGCCATCTTGGGCCGCCATGGGGCTCTCTGAGGGCCATCTGACACCCGTGTTGTGCAGTTTTGGGGCTCTCTTGGACTGCCTGGAAGCCCTTTCGGATGGTTGTGGGGCGATTTTGGAGCCTCCCAGGTGGCTTCGGTCGCCCAGAAGACCGCCGTCTCGGAGCGTCGGGAAGCCGAAAAGAGGAAAACCCCCAAATTCACCAAAAGCCAACAGAAAATCAATGTAAGCCGTGTGTGCCGCTGTCTTCTCTCAAGGCACCTCGCTCGGGAAGGGGCCCCGTGTATGGCCTCCGCCCTGATCGACGCTGGGTCGCGCTGGGCAGCCACTGTCAGCGGCCAGGCGCTCGGGACCTGGCTTGGTGGCGGCCAGCACACGCGGGCGTGTGGCTGCAGCTGCGATTTCGACGCCTCGCCAGACGAGGCACTCAGCGGGCTGCTGAAGGGCCAGCTCGACAGGTGCGGGCCAGAGCACCTCCACGGGCAGCCTGCCCAGGTGCCCGCTTGCCCGCCGTCGGGCCATACCGGGTTGGAGTTCGGTCTCGCGCTGGCGCTCGGCTTGGTGCTGGGCCTTTGTGCACGGGAGGCCGCGGCGTGGAGCTGTCGCCATCGGGCCCAGGTGCTCGAGGACGTGCATGGCAGCGGCTCGGACGGCGAAGGCGCTGGCAAGCCTTCGAGTGTGGGCCCTCGTGCTCGTCTTCTGCGAACTAGAGGACAACTGCTGGCATGAGCGAGTCCTCTTGGGCCATGTCACTCCCACCCGTCGGGTGGTGGTTACTCTAAATTTTGACATCTACGAGGAGGACCTCGCGGAGGCCATGCCCCTGTGCCTGGCTGGCCCGATGGGAGGCGTACCTACGACGTTGTCTGGCCACATCGTGCGCATGGACATGGACAGGTATCAAAGCAACGAGGCGGCGCTGCTCGAAGAAGGGCGCGCACTGGTTGAGGAGGTCTGCCGAGAGGAGGGACTGCCGGCCGCAGGTGCGGGGCTGCCAGCGCTGCCCGCCCCTGACGGCGACGCGGAGACTACGAAGGCTCTCGGCGTTCGCGCTGACGCTGGTGATGTTGTGCGCGGGATGGTCCTGGAGTCCCAAGCTGGTTACCATCCAAGCGACGAGCTTCTCGCCTGGGCAGTCCCCCGCAGCACCGCTGGCCATCGCGGGATTGTCGAGCTCGCGGATGGCACCATGCTGGCGGTCGCGGAGTGGGGGACCGTCGAGGGGACGAGCACCCCCCGAAAGGAGACGGCTGCTGATGAGCAGGACCTCCGCACACTGCCCGTTCGGTACGACAGGGCAGGCGCGAGGATCTGGGACTTCTCGAACGCGGTCGAGCTCATGTCCACCAGCCCGATGCCAGACTGGCCAGTACTGGGCCCTCGCACCACCGTGTGGCTTGTGCAGCATTTCAAGAGGCTGGTCCAGACCCCCCTCCAGCGTCACAGGTGGTGGAGGCAGACGCAGAACCTCACCGCAGCGGACGCGGGGATCGACGAACATCAGTTCGTTTCTGAGCTCCTGGAGATGGGCGCGACGAAAGACCAGTTCAATGAAGGAGAGCTCGGCGGGTTTGAAGCGATCTCGAGGAGGGGCCAACTCTGGGAAGAGGTCTACGCTAACAGGCTCCCTGAACATGAGGCTGGTGCAGTTCGTGACTCGGGAGGATCGGCCTGGCTCGATGAACGTGAGATATTTCCTGGGCAAGAACGTGGCCGCGGAGGGCCTTGGTGTCTCCTGAGCTACAGACTTGGCTTTCGGGTCGCCTTTCAGTCGGAGGCTGCTGTGCGCAAAGAACGTCGCAAAGGTCGCGAAGAAAAGATTCTTGCTCGTGGTGGAGCGGTCGGGGATGCACCTGCGCCCAAGGCCAAGGCAAAGGCCAAGGGCAAGGCAGGTGAGGGGGCTGCGTAGCCCCATCCTGAGTCCGAGGTTCCTTGGTCGCCCGCCTGCCCCCGAGCGGTCGACCATCTTCAAGGGGAGGTGCGGCATCGTCTGCGCTACGTTTTGTGACGACGGCGTTGGAGGCCGCCGCCGTGATCTGCTGCCGATTCCGATTGGTTCAGAGCTGATGTCTTTGCTTAGTGGACGTTCTGCTTTTGGTACTTCACTGTCTGCGAAGCGCAGGGCTGCGTCCAGGAGGCGTCAGGATATGTGGTTGATCGTTGGCATCGCCTCCCTCGACGAGCTGGGCGGGCAGGGTCGTCATGCGCCTGCCTCAGCCCCGCTGGCGGCGGCCCAACGCGTTGCCGTTCGGCGTTTGGCTGCGATCTACGGGACGTGGTCACCGCCGGTTGATCGCCCGAGTCCCCATGAGGCGTGGACGACGCTTCAGGGTCTCAGGCTTGGCTACTCAGAAGCCGAGGCCTCAGGTTCTCGAACAGTTTACCAGCGGGGAAACATTTCTCTCCCTAAGATTGGCGCCGGGAAGGTCTCTCTTCTGGACGTCCTGCCTGTTGATCTGCGTCACAAGCTGGAGACTGGGCACGGGCTGTTGCGTTCCCCTTTGGAGGCAGCAGCACTAATTAGCGATGCAGGTGCTCCTCGCGCCATGGGCCCGAAGCTCGGGCGGCTCGGCTGCGACTACGGCCACGCGCTCGGGGAGCTCCTCGCTTCTGGAGTTATTGAGGCCAGCTCGGAGCCCGTGCTGGAGGAGGCAGTCTTGTTTTTTTGGGGGGCGCGGAAGGACAAGCGGTTGCGTCTCATATGCGATACCAGAACCCCGAACATGCATTCACAACTCCTGAACATACTGCTCTTGCGACGGGTGCGGCCCTATCTTCACTGGGGGCGTCTGGAGTCAGTTTGATCGGGATGAGTTCTGGAGACGTGGATTGTTGTTTCTATCAGTACTCTCTTCCACCCTGGTGCAGGCGCTACTTCAACTTGCCCTTGATTGACGGTCGCTTTCTGCCATCCGATGTCCGAAGTGCCTGTTGTCTTTCGTTGAAGAGCGGCCAGGTTCGCTTTCGTTTCAAGGTGGCGCCCATGGGATGGAGTTGGGCCGTTCACTTTATTCGAGAACCTCACCTGCACAGTGTCAGATCAGTTTTGCAGTCACAGCCTTGGTGCCTTGACGAGTGCCCTGGGGTTGACCTGAAGACTGACGATGCCAAGGTATTGTACATTGACAACTTTGCAGTGCTGTCATCTTCCCCTGGCCGCGCTGCCACAGCAGCCAAGGCCATGCAGTCGGCCTTGGCAGCGCGCGGAGTGGTCTCGGAGCTGGACCCCGACTCCTGCGAGCGCGGGGAGCTGCTGGGCTGCGAGCTCGACCTGCGCACTGGCTGCTGGCAGGTTCTGGGGCGGCGGCTCTGGCGGATATATGGAGCGCTGGGGCACGCGCTCGGGAAGCGGGCCAGGGTGACTGGCCAGGAGCTCGAGCGCCTCATCGGCCACCTGGTGTCACTTCTGATGCTGCGCCGAGGGGACCTCGCCATGCTCCACGCCTCCTACGAGTTCGCGAGGGCATCCTACACCAAGCGGCAGCCGCTCTGGAAGAGCGTGCGCCGCGAGCTGGCTTGGGTGAAGTCCTTGCTGCCGTGCCTGCGCGCGGGCACTACGCTGCCTTGGAGCGACGTGGTCACCTGCTTTGACGCGTCGCCCTGGGGCTACGGCATCGTCGAGGCCGAGTGGGACCTCGATAGTGTACAGCGAGTTGGGCGAGTCTCGGAGCGCACGCGCTTCCGGGGGCTGCTGGCGGCCGAGGGGGCCCCCCGCGAGCGCGCGCTGGAGCAGGATATCGCGCGGGCCCCTGGGCCCGCCCTGCTGCCTGCTGGCCGCGCTGCAGGCTTCCCAGAGGTCGACTACGAGAAGATGCAGGCGCAGCCTTGGCGCGTGGCGGGCTGCGGCCGCTGGAAGCGCAAGGAGGCCATTCATGGCCTGGAGGGGGCCGCCCTGACCTGGGCAGTGCGGCGAGCGGCACGGGGCGCTCGACAGCGCGGGTCGCGACGATTGTTTCTCGGAGATAACATGTCCCTCACCCTTGCTGCTGCCAAAGGTCGTGCTGCCTACCATCGTCTGTTGGGCGTCTGTCGTGTGATCTTTGCCATCGGCGTCGCAGCAGATATGAAGATGCAGGTCAGGTGGCCCCCCATCAGAGTGGAATCCCAGCGACAAGCCCTCGCGCCGTTTCCTCAGGCCGTCGCGCGCCCAGCTGGCGCAGGAGCCGTTCGCCTCGCCGAGCGCCCCTTGCGAAGGGTTGATCGCCGGCGGAGGCGCTGGGGGCTCCCGCGCGCGCCGTGGTGCCGGCTCTGGCTGGGCCCGCGAGCAGGCCAGACTTGGCCGGGCGGCGCGCAAGGCTTGGCCGCGTTCGCTTGGCGAGCGACTTCGACCAGAGGAGGCGCCAGCTCTGCCCCCGCCAGACCCGCCTCGCGGCCGCGAAGGTACGCCCTCACACTCAGGAGCTGTGCCTGGGGACGGTCCTTGGGCTGGTGCGCTGGCTTGGCTTGGAGTGCCTCCTGGACTGGCCGCGGCAGACCTGGGACGAGGTGCTGGCAGGGTACGCAAAGGCGATCTACAACCGCGGCAGCTCGAATGGGAAGCCTCTCAGTGGCTTGGCCGTCCTGACAATGTTCGAGACGTACATGTGGCCATCGGAAGTGCTGGCCCTGCGAGCCCGCCAGGTTGTTCTGCCACTGCCGAAAGAAGGGGGCGCCTCAGTGTTTATGACGTTTGTGGTCCGAGCTTCAGAGCTTCAGGTCCCGACCAAGACGAACGAGTACGACATCTCGGTGCCGCTGGACTTGCAGCGGCAACAATGGCTGGTAGAGTCGATTTCCTTCGTCCAAGCGTTGCGGGAGCCAGACGTGCTGGTCCTTGGCCTCAGCTACACCGAGCTGGCCGCAGACTTCAGCAGTGCGATCTCAGCTCTGGGTGTGACCGTACTCAAGCCCACCCTCTACTCCCTCCGGCATGGAGGGGCCAGCCACGACGCGAGCACGGGCGCCAGAAGCTTGGGCGCCGTGCAGCAGCGCGAAGGATGGAAGGCGTTCAAGTCAGTGCTCAGGTACGAGGAGCACGGACGCCTGTCGATGGAGCTTCGCAAGTTGTCCGACCATCCCCGCGATGCGCTGCGAGCCGCAGGACTGGTTCACATCGGCGTCTTCAACAGGTCCTGGGTGCGGCACTTCGCAGCGCGCCGCATCAGTCCCGAGTTTGCGTGGAGGTCCTCTCGGGCTGTGGTGAGTTGAGTAAACACTTGCGTCATAGAGGGGGGGCGGTGGTGGAGTGGGATGTGCGACACGGAGATCATTTTGATTTAACCCGCCCTGCTGTCTGGAGGACCCTCAGAGGCTGGATCTCTTCGGGCCTGGTCAAACTCGTGTTTTTGGGGACGCCCTGTAGCGGGTGCTCCAGGGTTCGTGGGGCTCCGCTGTCTAGTAACATGCCTCCGCTTCTCAGGAGCCCCGAGTTTCCTCTTGGGCTTCCTGACCTCGAGGGTAAAGACCTTGAGAGCCTTCGAGTCTCTAACAAGTTAGGGTGGGTCTCACAACGCATCCAGAGACTTTGTTACAAGATGAATGTGCCAGGCGGTGAAGAGAATCCTTGGCGAAGCTTCCTATGGCTTCGCCCTGATCGCCTAGGATTTGCCCGCCTCCCGCAAGTTTGTGATCGAGTTGTGGATTACTGTGCTTGCGGGCGCCCGTTTCGTGCCCGCACTCGCATTCGATTTTGCAAGTGTGTTCCTCACCCTTGGCTCGAGAAGCTCGTTTGTAAGGGCAAGGGGATCTGTTCTTTTTCCGGGGGGCCTCATCTGCAGCTGACTGTTTTTTGTTCGGAAGGCGGGTTCAACACTAAACTGAAGAATGCTTACCCGCCTGAGCTGTGCGCTCTCCTTGCAGAAACGTTGCATTCCTCTTGCGTAGCACAGCAATCCACTGAAAGATGGAAACGTATGCGGGGTTACCCCAGCACAATGCTTGAGTAGTGGGCCTAAAGGTTTGACGCGTGGCATTTTGTATCGCAGTTTGTGCCAAACTGTCAAGCGTGCCTGCGTACTGTTCTTGACCTCAAGCAGCTTCCGCCACTGGCAAAATAGAAGATCCTGTAAGTGGCTCACGTGAATGATCTGCCGTGTGTGCCGCTGTCTTCTCTCAAGGCACCTCGCTCGGCCCACGCCAGCCCAAGGCCTCTCCTTGTTCGGTGCCGACAGCATTTTGTATCGCAGTTTGTGCCAAGCTGTCAAGCGTGCCTCCGTACTGTTCTTAACCTCAAGCAGCTTCCGCCACTGGCAAAATAGAAGATCATGATTCTTGCCTCGTGTGGCCTTCTTGGGAGTGCTCTTGGAGGCCTTTTTGGGGCTGTCCTGGAGGCCTCTTGGGCCATCTTGAGTTCACGTCGGTCACTCTTGGAGCGCTCTTGTGCTGTCTTGGGGGTCTCTGGGACGTCTCCGATGACCCCCCTGATCGCCCTAGGTGTGCTGGGAAGGCTTGGCAATGCGCCCTGCGGGGCCCGGTGGCCGCTTCGAGGCCCGTCCGGAGGGTCCCAACGCACCAGATCCCGGGAGTCTTTTTTCTTTGTTTGTTTATATATTTATATATGTATAAGTGTGTGTGTATGTATGTATGCATGTATGTATGTATGTATGTATGTATGTATGTATGTATGTGTGTGTATGTATGTATGTATGTATGTATGTATGTATGTATGTATGTATGTATGATTTTATGTATGTATGTATGCATGTGTGTATGTATGTATGTATGTATGTATGTATGTATGTATGTATGTATATTATATATATATATATATATATATATATATATATATATATATATATATATATATATATATCGGAGTAGGCCGGGGGGGGGGGGCGCTGCTGCCTCTGGTCGCCATGGCGGCCCCCCCCGGGCGATTTTTTGCCCCCCCTCACGAGGATCGTGACCCCCTCGCCGAAACTTGGAGCCCTCAGTCTCAAGAGGCTTCCGAAGAGGCCACAAGAGGCCCCAAATGGCTTCCATGAGGCTCTCAAGACAGCCCACCAGGCCCTCCAGACGCTCCAAGATGGCTCCCACAGCATTTCGAACATATTCAATAGCCACACATCGTTTAACTCCTTGGGGAAAACGCAGATGTTTGGCATGTAGATCTTCCTGCCTGTCCGACGCTCCAAGACGGCCCACGACGCGTTCTACACCGCACCAGCACGGCCCCAGAGGGTTTCAAGCGGCTCCCACGACGGCTCTTGGAAGGCCCCAAGACAGCTCTGGAGGGCTCCACGAGGGGCTCCAGATGAGTCGCGACGGCTCCAACGCGCGCAAGACGGTCCCAAGATGGCCCAAGAGGCTCCAAGATCGCCGCAAGACGGCCCAAGACAGCCGCAAGACGGCTCCCAGCTGGCCGCAAGATGGCCCCGAGACTGCTCCTCGTCCGTCTCCTGTTGCTTCTCGAGCTGTCTCCCCGCCTTAAGAAATATGTTCCCAGAAAACCTGCCGGGAACATAATTCCTCTGCTTCAGTTCGGGTGTTCCCTTTGTCCTTCACTGTCCTGGCGTATCGTCTTTCTGCCTTTGATCCTCTTGCTGCTGCGGCTGCTCTTCATGGTCTTAGCCCACTTTTTCCTCCTCTGTATGTTATCCTCCTGCCTGTCTTGCACTGATAGCTATTACATGGCGATGCACGGAACAGTTCTGCCAGAGCCTTGCCGTGACCTCGATTAGAATCGGGGGGGCCAAAATCGGTGCCGTCATCCCCCATGGCCGCCCCCCCGAACCTTTGGGGGGTCAGAGACCCCCCGGGACTGCCTCGGGCCGCTTCCAAATTGCCCACGACAGGCCACGCGGGCCCCAACAGAGCCCCAAGAGGGCCTCTGAGGGCCCCAAGAGGGCGTTCAAGATGCACAAATCCGCACGTTTCCTGCGTAAAACGACATTTTCGGTATATTCGCTGGCTTCGTCTTCACAGTGCCCCAGACGCCCCCGCGGAGCCCCAAGGCAGCCCAAGAGAGACCCAAGAGGGCCCCAGGCCGCCCAAAAGGGTCGGCCTGTGGAGCTCACCGAACCACCCGAGACGGCCCAAGAGTCCCCGAAGCCGGCCCAGGAGGCCCCCAAAACGGCCTCAGGGAGGCCCAAGCGGGCCTCGTTCGAAATCATGTTCCCGGAAGCCTCTCCGGGAACATGATTCCTGGGTTCCGAGGACGCCCAAGAGGCCCACAAGACAGCTTCAGCGAGGCCCCAGAGGGCCCGAGATGGCTTGAAGATGGCCGAAGAGGGCCCCAAGAGGGCCTTCAAGAGGCAAACATCGGCCCATTTCCTTCGTAAGACGTGCGTTTTCAGCATGCTTGCTGGCTTCGTCTTCGCAGTGCCCCAGACGCCCCCGAACCCGAGATGGCTTGAAGATGGCCGAAGAGGGCCCCAAGAGGGCCTTCAAGAGGCACACATCGGCGCATTTCCTTCGTAAAACGTGCGTTTTCGGTATGCTTGCTGGCTTCGTCTTCGCAGTGCCCCAGACGCCCCCGCGGAGCCTTAAGACAGCCCAAAAGAGACCCAAGAGGGCCCCAGGCCGCCCAAAAGGGTCGGCCTGTGGGGCTCACCGAACCCCCCGAGACGGCCCAAGAGGCCCCGAAGCCGGCCCAGGAGGCCCCCAAGACGGCCTCAGGGAGGCCCAAGAGGGCCCCGTTCGAAATCATGCCTCCGAAGCCTCTCCAGGAACACGACTTCCGGGTTCTGAGGACGCCCATAGAGGGCCCCAGGACAGCCTCAGCGAGGCCCCAGAGGGCCCGAGATGGCTTGAAGATGGCCGAAGAGGGCCCCAAGAGGGCCTTCAAGAGGCAAACATCAGCCCGTCCCCGTAGTAAAACGCACGGACTCGGCGCGAGACAACTGGCGACCGCAGCTGCCGTCCTTTCGTGCAGGGCGAGTGCGAACCTGGCGTTTGGACGGAACGTGTCGGGTCTGTTGCCAATCGGGGCTGCGCCAGGTTAGGCCACCCCCAAGGTCAGGTTCGGGAATGGGTCGTAGCAACACGACGACGACGACGACGACGACGACGACGACGACGACGACGACGACGACGACGACGGCACGCCCCAACAAGCTCCCCCAAACGCCCCAAACCCATGCTCCCAGAAGGCCTTCTGGGAACCCGATTCATACGGCCTCCGCCCCCCTACACAACCATTTTCCTCGAAGGCCTTTCGGAATGCAGATTGGGATGCGTGGACTGTGGTCCACTACTTCAGTGGAGCAGTGAATTTTTCAAGGCCTGGGGCCTGCTAGAACCTGAGCGCGCGCGAAGCGCGCGCGATGGTTCTAGTGTGTGTGTGCGTGTATATATATACACATATATATAGCGAGAAAGAGAGAGAGAGAGAGAGAGAGAGAGAGAGAGAGAGAGAGGAGAGAGAGAGAGAGAGAGAGAGAGAATGAGAGAACGAGAGAGAGAGAGAAAGAGAACGAGAGAGAGAGAGAGAAATGAAGACAACACAAACAACCAACTAGAGAGAGAGAGAGAGAGAGAGAGAGAGAGAAAGAGAGAGAAAGAGAAAGAGACCGGACAAGTAGGCGGACCAGGGTCCGTCCGCGAGGCGCACTGCGGTGCGACAACTCGCCAAACACTATTTGCGGCGGTGCAGCCTTGAGATACGAGGGCGGGCAACAAACCCCCTCCCCCGGCGCAATGCGACAGACGCTACAGACGGCGGACAGACGGTGAAGATCTCACGTGTCAGACCGCGTGGCGAAGAAGGCCCCAACAAGAAAGGCGACGTGCTGACACGTGGCTAGGCGGCTTGGCAGACCGCCAGTTGGGCGCTTGGCCGCAAGGCGGCGCGCAGGGACGGGGCACCCCCCGCCCCCACGCCCTGACACCGTGGACGCGGGGCCACGCGTACACACGGGCAGGCAGAATGGCGGAGATTAGCGCGGGGCACCAGGCGGAGCGCCGCGGAGCGATGACAGCATAGCATGGAGGGTGAGTGGCGGCGCAGCACCATCGGGCGAGGGTGTAAGCAGCTCGGCGAAGGCACGCCCGGCGCGGTGGAGGCGCTGGAGCAGAGGGCCTTGACGGGCTTGAGCAGCGGCAAGGTCGGCGGCGAGAGCAGCACACCTCTGCTGAAGAGCGGCCACAGACTGGGGCAGCTCGGTTTCGCGGTCGGTGAGGGGCGGCTGCTCTGTGCCTGCGGCCGCGGGCCTCGTGGCAGGGACGAGGTCATCGGTGTGCCTGG